CTTTCATTTTACGAAAATCCAGTCGCTATCGAGGTGGAAGCCCCAAAAAATCGGTGTAATTGAACTAAAAATACTGCATCATGCAATCAATAGTCACAATAACAACAAACAGACGATAAATTAACACCAAAGTAGAGAATCGTCTTGTGCGCCCATTGGTCAGCCTTCAACATAGCCAGCCAATGAGAATAGAGAAGTGTATCATTCTTTTCTTCTATTGGTGGATCGCCAATGCTCCTCAGCCAATGGGGATACATCTGTGATCTGTATTTTGGTTTTTAGTTTTCTTTGATTCGAATGAATTTCTCAACAAAGAAAATGGAAGTTATGGGTATTTGTAAAGGGGGAAACTACTCATAAACTAAAAAGAAAAAATATGAACTAGGGTTGACAAAGAAAGACGATGTATTAGAGCGTAATCTCACCAAAAGGTACAAAGATTTAAGTTCAGTGTCACATTCCATGCAGTGTGCAGTAGTTGGTAAAGCTAAATATTCTGATTTCGTTTTAAAATTCATGGAACAAGCGGAGATCCTAAATAGGTAAACTGCTGAAGTGGCTGAAGTGACAGACAAAAAGAACTACAAGGGGTGCTAAAACTGAAATGTTTGGGAATCGCTTTTCTAAATCCTTAACATGGATAAGTATTCGGGATAACAGTCAGGTGCATTTTTTTTTTAATATGTCTTGAGTATGCCAAAAGAGATGAGGCTTCGGAATTCGTATGTCATAATATTTTGATTATAACATTTCAGCTTGCATATCTTCTTTTTCCTTTAATTGTATGTTGGTATATTTGTGTCATCGGTCAGACTTAAAGAAATTGCACTTTCTTGAACGTTTTTTTCTTTCTTTTTTTTTTAATGGGTCTATTGCAACGTTCCTAATAGGGATGCGAAAGTATCATTTAAAAACGATTTGATCATGAGGAGAGTTTTGGAAATTATACAATATAAGCAAATTAGTTATGACAATTGTCCATATGTTTGTTGGCACTAAACACAGTGTGTTCCATCTTTCTCTCACACCGTAGCATCAGAACAGGGTATAAAATATTATTTTGCAACACCAGGATTGCAGAGAGGTGCACGACTGGGCTAGCACAAGCATACCGTATTGGCAGGAATACTGGACATATGGTCACAGAATTCCTATCAAATCCAGGCTCCTTAGCAGTTTTCTCCGACTCTATGAGTGCTCTCCATGCTCGGAACTCTCTCTATAAAGGTGCACTATATGATAACAGAATAAAGTTACATCGCACAAAAGAACGGGGCCATGTTATTGGTTTTGTGTGACCAGCATTGCATGTTGGTATCTCTAAGCAGAGTATTTAAAAGACCTTGGATTACCTCTTGCTAAGATTTCACATATTTTTAGAATCTCCAACAGAGAAAATGACTGAACTGTCAATGCTCTGAGGCCTGAAAACTGTATTATAGAGCATAATGACCGTTTCTTTTGGCAAGATAATTTACCTATTGTGGTTAGTCTTTACGGTGTGGATGCACTGAGCTAGAGCAAATTGAAGATTATATTCTTGAAGAGGACTTAAAGTTGAAGTCGTTTGCGCAAGAAATAATCTGCAGACACGAACAGTTTTATATAAAGGCGAGTGAAGTTAGAACATTCATTTTGGGGACACTGCAAGCCACAGAAAAAAGGAGCTACTCCAGGAGCATTTTAACCCACGATCAGAGCTATAAAGGTTTGATTCAGGCAAAATAAATAAATAAAATCGTAGGAGTGTGGCCTTGGGGGAGGGGCGGGGTAAGCCAGACCTTGAGGGAGGCAATCAGAGTTTGGGGGGGCAGTTTCCCTAACAGCCTTCCTCACCCACCCAAATAATGTCCTTGGCCAAACCCTGAAAAGACCGGTAAGGATTTTCCTAAACAAAATATTTTGACAATTCTACCATGTTGACTGGTTCAATTGTCTGGAAGAGGCATAATTGTGAACGAGAGCACTGTGAAATGTGTTCGGCGGAAATCTCCGTGGACACTTCAAAACTACTCTATTTATGCCATACATCCAAAAGTTTTCTTTTTATATCATATATCATTTGATTTTAAGATTTCTATATCAACTTGGCTAATGATAACTTTGGATGTAAAAGTTCCTTTAAAATCTGACACATAGTACTAGATGGCAGGTCACACGTTGTACGTAGGTCGCACGGGGCACATGCGGAGTAACTCTTCAATGTGAAAAGATTCATATACTTCCAGATATTCTTTTAAAAATAACGTGACATGCCACGTGCAATGTGCCACCTTGGTGTTAGAGTGGCCTAAAGAATTACTACAATTGTTAACAAAACAAGAACAAGGGAATGTGACTGTAGAAATCAGGCTTGTATATAGACTGTAGTGGTAGGTTGGTGCAAGTTGCAATGTGAAAAAAACTAAGTGGCAAATGACACGTGGACCAAGGTTCCACTCGATTCACAAGGCAGCGTTTTCGGAAGTTGGTTATCTTATTGTTGTCCTAAGTCCTAATC